TTATATCACATTTGAAGAAAAATAATGTGTATCTCTACAAATTAGAATGCTTCGTTTAAATAATTATATTTTTATGTCCATGCATGGACCCTATAGTAAGAACCCTAGACCTACAACAGATGCAATACATTTTCATAAAAATCAAGCTTATTTTAGTCATCTTTATGCGATTTGCTTTATTTGTTAACCACAGGTCATTTTAGTTTTAAAAGCAATAACCCAGGACAATGTCATTTCTCTGAAGCCTGAGCACATCTTGAGACATTTTTTGTTTGGGGATAGCTTACTCTAAGCACTGACCATTTTAAGTTTCCTCCCCCAGTCTCCAGTGTTAAATTTAAAATGCTAATGAAAATGTCTAAAAACTTTCAATGAATCTGGACGAGTAGGTTTTAACCTACACAAGCTACTGCTTTTACTGCTACAAGGAGATTAAGGAGATGTGAGCATAAAATCCATTACACTTTTGAAGTTTAGCAGGTAAGTAATACAAAAAAAATAGTAGCACATTAATTAAATGTGTATTTTTTTATTTTTTATATTCTGTTAAGAATAAATGAACCTCTTATAGCCAACAACTTTCTCATACTCTTTTGTTATATCCCTTTACTCGTCGTCGTCGTCATCATCCTCTTCATCATCATCGTCGTCGTCATCATCGTCATCATCCCCCTCCTCTTCCTCCTCACCCTCCTCCTCCTCTTCATCTTCATCCTCTTCCTCCTCCTCCTCTTGTTCTTCTTCTTCCTTTACTGGTTCCTTCTATAAAAAATAAAAGTACACAATATAACAAGGACACATTCCAAGGTTTTAAATCTTGAAGCTCATTTTTACTTTTTATTATCTTGTATTGCTCCAAAATTACTTTTAAAAGTCTGATCTTAGTCTAATACAAAAAGTTGGCAATATTTAAGCAAAATGGTAGCCTGCTTCACTGGGCAGATATTTCACAGGTACAGAGTAGTTGTGTGATCCTTGATTTGACAAAATGCACATATCTTACCTTTGCCTTCTTATTTGGTTTTGCTTCAGCCTCTGGGAGGGTTCTCTTGGGTGATCTGTCTCTGGGAGGGGGAGTGGGTATTAAATTGCGAACTAAAAATTGTATTCTAACCAGAAAAAAAGTAAATGAACGATATCTAATCTGTCTGGTAACTTGACATCAGAATATCTTGATTTTAAGTTTATGTAAAAAACGAAGTTACTTTGTCTATTTATCCTCATGAATAAACTATGTACTTCTAAAATTACTTACTGCTGTGCAAAGGCCTTATTAACTAAGATTTTTCCATCAATATCCTTAATCTTTACTGTTGCTTCCTCAGCTTCTTTTTCTGTCTTGAAATGCATTTGTAGAAATCTTAGGAAAAAAAAATAGATTAGATACATGCTGTTTTCAAGATAATCTATAAACCATTCTAAGATTACACATTTAAAAGAGCTTGTATTCAAATAATCATACAACCAAGCTATGTATATAGATACTAAAGTACAGTTCAAATGGTACTTAATGACAATTATCCCACAGATGGAAAAGTGGAAAGCAAACAATTTTGCAACTTACTTTCCAAGTTTTACTGTATTTGCACCTTTCACAGCTTGCAGGAAGTGTTTGATATCTTCTATACTAGGCTTATTTTGAAACTCTACAAAAAGAGCAGTTTTGTCAAATTCTTGAGGCTGAAAGGCAAAAAATAAGAAAAAAATTAGAGATAATGGTTTTGTACTTTTCTATTCAGGCAATGGAATTGGCCTTAAGGTATTTTTTCCAATTCACAAATGTAAATAATGAACTACAATATGAAGTTAAATATGACATTAACAAAGTAGATTAGCTACTTTGAGATAGGCAATACAATTTCAGGATGTTAATGCAAATTACTGCATGAAAACTAATTTCAAATAATATTTCTCTTTGTCTTTGATCATGTAAATATTAATACAAATTACTAAGGGTCTCAAACAAGAAAAATATTTTGCATATAATACTAACCAATATAACAAATATGACAATTTATACAATTTAATTCTATATCAAAAATCATTCACATAAAACTTGATTTTATAGCAAATTCACAGATACAGATGTTTATCCTTTTATTCTTAGTAGGCAGAATTTTAGTAATTTTTTTGCAACTTTAAATGAATGTAAACAATTCTCAAATATTCAGACAAATATGAGATCATATCTTCCGTTTCTTTTCGAAGTCTCTCACATCGGAGTGTGAAAATCAGTAATATGCAAGTACTAGTTCAATTTCCAGACCTTGCTTCTTTACTTACTCTGGGCTTTTGGCCGAAAGTTCTTCCACCTCCAAAACCTCCTCTGCCTCCTCTCATGCCACCTCTCCCTCTGAATCCTCCTCGGCCTCCTCGGCCTCTGGGAGATGTGCCATTTGAAACTTTTTCTGTTGCATCAACCATTGTGTGTGTTTTTTTCTGTAACTGGAAGAAAAATGATGAGAATTAAATTTCTGCAGCAACAATTGTGCTAACTAGT